GGCGGGTGCTGCTGGACCTGCCCTGTCTTCTAGGGCTGCTCGGCCTGCTTGTCCCCACGGAGGTGGCGAGGGGAGTCCCCAAGGCCCATGGCTCCCCAAGTTTCCCTTCTAGGAGAGGTTGGGGCCTAGCGGAGGCGAAGCGTGCTGGCGCACCCCCTCAGCCGTGGCACCCCCTCAGCCACAGCCTCTCCATTTGTGAGGAAAAAGGAGCTGAAATTCTCATCCGTGCTGAGAGGGAGCATTTCCCAAAAGGCTGAGGTGCAGTGAAAGGTGCCAGGGAGGATGAACATGTGTTTTTTTGTTGTTGTTTTTTTTATTTTTTATTTTTTTTTCTATGTTCTCTGGGGGCAGGATGAGCTTTCCTGTGTGGGCTTTTATTTCCCCTTAGGGGTGGTGGGCACGTTCTTGCCTGGTTGTGGAGCTGTTAAAAGTTAACCTGTGTTCAAAGACTGGGCTCAAAGAATACACTGTGTGGAGAAAATCTTAGTAAACAGCACCTCAAGCAGGGATGTGGCTGGAGTGGCACTGCTGGTCCCCATAATGCCCTAGAGTGGGAGCAGGGTATGTAGATACACTGGCAGCTGTCTGTAGGATGTAGGCTGCTCGATGTATTTGTATGTGAAGCCCTCCAAGGGTTGGGGCTTGCTCCTGGAATCTTTTTTGTGTTCTTTTAATGGGTTACACCAGAAATAATTAACTCGTGGGTTAATTCTTTCATGTGACCAGCTGTCCTAGCAGCAAAGGGATTTTGTTCTAACCTCTCTGATTTATGACTGAAATCATTGCACTGGAGTCTTATTTATACCAGAATGGATGGGCCTGCAGGACTGTTCCTATGTAAAAAGTTTTCCTCAGGCTGTCATGCAGACTAAGTGGGGATGCTGCATACTGCAGCTTTGGAAATGGGAACCCCACAGGGATCGTGAGATTGTGAACAAGACACTGAACTAGAATTTCAGGATTCCAGGCTCCCCTATGTGCATAAATCAATTGAATTGCCTACTGATAAAATAAGAGTAAACTTGTTTTTATGGCGGTCTTGAGTTCAGTGCTTGAAACTTAGCTCAAGCTATGGTAACAGAGTGGTGAAGGTTATTGTCTCATGATCTCCAAACATGAAGAAGCTAACAGTAAAGGGTTTTGAAAATCAGGTGCACTTGAGAACTGGAACTTTGTAATATTTGAAGTTTTCCACTTTTTCTCATTTTTCCTGTTTCATTTTTACTACAGCTACTTTAGGAAGAAAAAATAATTTTCTCATTAGACAATGTGCCTGTGTAGTATTTCAGTCTCTTGAAAGTAAGCATAAGCAACTTTTCTCATAACTAAAACTGCTCCACTAACAAATCAAAAATTACTGAAATTGTTCTTCAATTATGTCCTTGAGAATTGAAAAACTTATCCAAAGGCAATATGCCTTTTCTAAATAAGTTCCAGTCAGTACAAAGCACAGTAATATGCTGGAGAAACCTCAGGAAAGGACAAAGTGTTTGTATGAAAGTGCTTACAAAGAAGTTAGTTACTTAGTCCATGCATAAACCTGCACTGAGTTTTAAATCAAGGTATTCAAGGTCCATGTTTAATTAAGATAACTAAATCAAAGCACTTTATAATAATCAATTTAAAAGTGTTTGCAGAAAATAATATTACTAATTTAGTTCAAATGGGTTTATAGAGTAGGTAAGTGGCTAGATAAGGTTATGAACTTTCAGTGATGCTGATTTAAAAGTTGAAGTTTCATTTGCTGAAATGTTCTCAAGTGTGTCCTTCCAAGTATCTAGGCAAAATCATTGTGAATTTTTTTGAATAGTTTTAATAGTGACTTCTTGCTAACATAGGATTTTTCTTTTGGTTATTCCTTTTAGCTTTCTGTGGTTCTTTTGTGGTTTACAGACTTGGAGATATAACAAAAATAACACTCCAGTATCATGATAGGCAGGAGTACAAATCATTATACTCTGTAATCAGATAGATAAGTAAATAGAGAGCTAATGTATGCCACATACTTAAAAAAAATTCGTTGTTCTTTGATATTTCCCTCCAGGTAGTTTCTTGTTTTGTATAGGCTGGTTGTTATCTAGTATTTTCTCCCTATTATACCTATACCTATTATGCATATCTTTGTTTTATCTTTTATCTTTTCTTTCTAATCTTTCTTTAAAAGCTGTAACCACTGTGAAGACAAAAAATATGTGACTATGACTTTACTAATGTCTCGTGTCTACCCAGAAATAGAAATCAGCATCTGAGCTGGAAACTAATCTGGGCAGGCCAATTAATTGAAAACAGTAGAAAACCTGAAAAATCACAATGAACATCTCCTCCCAAACCTACATCTTTATTCTGGTGCTTTTCCTGAGGATCAGTGGAAAATTCTTCAGGAGTTACTGTGGCAAACTCATTGCTATTGGTAATAGTGCTTTTCAGTACTGTCTTAAGCCCTGTCACAAGGTGCCTGCTTGCCTGCTGGCTGGGTTGCTGTGGGACACTATAGAGTTTGGGTCTGAAACTATTAAGTGGCATAGAGAAAATGACATTTGGCCAGAGGGAGCAAAATAGCATTATGTTCCATGATCTTTCTTCTGCTTTTGTGGACTTAACAAGGTACTGTGATACACTGGGAGCTGTGGATCTCCTGCAGTGGAAGCGTAGGCTCTGACAGATCTATGCAAACATCTCCCCATGTAGTATCCTCCATCAAGCACAACAAAAGTCAGTGGAATTGTATGAAGGATTAATGGTTTGAAGTTGTTGGTTGCAAAGGAAATGGTAGTTTCTCTTAGTAATGGATAACACTGCTATCTCTGACAATAGGCTTTTATTTGGACATTGGTATTAACTCTATTTCCGAGATACCTTGTGAGGGAATGGTTTATCTTTCTTGCTGAGAAGAGCTTGTGTCTAGAAGGACATAAACCAGAGCTGAGCATCTTTGGCATCTTTTTTTTTTTTCCCCCCTCACATTTTGTGTGTGGATGTGGTGTGATTGTGAGACAGTGCTGGTAACGGCGGATGTGTGTTTGCAGACTGTTTGCAGGGGTCGTGAAGAACTTTGTGGGCCATCCACCTGATCCTCATTTTACTGTCCTTTCAGGGCTCCAGTAGATAAGGAATGGTTCAGAAGAGCCAGTGTCTACCACGAGTATAGCTGGAATTATACTCATCATGAAATGAGAAGACATTTCAAGTCTTTGAGTTTTCTGAAGCCTACATTCGAGAAAGAGAGCTGTCTGAATACTTGCAGCCAGAAGTGGGTGATCTGTAACTCGTGTTTTTCTCATTGAAAACCACCCGTGAAAGAGGGTCTCCTTCCTCTAAATATCTTGCAGGAGGGGAGACCAGCAATAACTACTCACTTGAAAAAACTTGAACAAGTTTGGTATGCAGTTGTGCCACAAGAGAAAATGTTAAACCCTATCTGTAAAAAATAGTTGTACTACTACAGTTTTGTGTTGTTCGAGTGGTTCTATCCCCTTTGTGTGTGTACAGTTGTAACAGCAGAAAGATGCGTTATAGTTCTGGTAAGGAAGGTACGTTGATATATGTTATTGGGGGACTAAGTAATTATTCTAGACTTTTGTTTCTAATAATATACTGGGGATAGATGGAAACCAACAATATGTTATTATAGGTTTTGTATATAAGAAAAAGGTGACATTTATTAAGTCCCATTAAAACAACAGCAGAAATGAGCAGAGGTTTTATTCATTGATTTTAAAAATACACATATCAAGTGTCGTGATTATCTTTTTTTTGAGTAAAGTGAACGATGAAATCATATGTTAAGTGTAGCAATCACCTTCAATACAGTTTCATTTGTTACTTGTTTACTGTCTAATGAAATAATACCATACTGAAATTTAGTTTAGTTGCTTCATCAGTAGTTCTACTTGTCTTTGATGTAGCTCTTTCATATATTTCAAATATTGCTGTGATAAAATCTTAATTTCTAAAATCAGTAACCTGAAAATCGGGAAAAAAAAATTGCTCTCATATTTCAAATAACAGTAGTGAGTATCTGTCATTGCAGCCCAGCATCTTAATAAGAACATCTCATTTTACACTCTACTGTAAACCAACAGATTATATAATAACGATCTTCCTTGGTCTATAAAAGTACTAGACCCTCAGCAGGTCGATCAGTGTAACTTGGAAGATTATTTTGCTACTTTAAGTTTTAGTCAAGTTTTTGACTAAGTTTTATGTATTACTGAATGTTTTCATTGCGAGACATATAATCCAAGCCTCCTTGCTGCTTCAGAAATTCTGGGCCCCTTTTTATTAGGGAAAGGGTAAAAGTTCAGTTTGTTGCAGGCTGGCATGGATTTTGTAGAAATATGGTGATGTGTCCAAACTGCTGAAGTAGCTGATTTTGGAGGAAGCTTTTGGCAGGTGCTTGAAATGTTGCTGCTGTTCTCTTTGCTGAAACTGTTCAACGTGCTTGAACTTCCCAGTTGGCTGAGGGCAGATAGTTCACTTGCTGCTTCTAATTCCTTGTGTTGCAGTGTGCCGTTTCCCTTTGAAATCAGTCTCTGATTGTCCAGACTGCATGATCCGTTCTTGCAGTGGGAGAGATCCCAGGGAACTCCTTGACAAGGAGCTTGCGCCAGGCGGTGAATTCCGAGGTGCGTACGCCATGGTGAGTTGTCTTGTATGTTGCCACTGCTGGTCATGTCCAGTCTGACCTGTCTGACAGGAACATGTTCTGTAAATGACTTTGATCTTCTAGCTTTTTTATTAATTAAGACAGCATTAACCATTGATTCTGGGAGAACAGATTCATGTTCACCTACAAGAGAAATGCGTATATGCGTGTTATTCCAGTGTCAAAAATTAAGGGTGTAATTTCTGTGGCATAAACTCAACTGAAGAGCTTTAACAGATGAGTTTATCTGTACTCTTCCCATCCGTGGCTTAGAGTAGCACAACTTCTTTTGATGCCAGGTGATGGAGTATAAATATTTCATACTCGGTTTTTCAGTTAGTAGGACATAAATGGTACTCTAAGGTTAGTCAAGTGAAAATGGAGATCTGTCAAGTTAATATTGACCTAGCCAGTACTCCAAGTCTCATTAACAACACAGAGTGAGAATTGACTTTCAGTAATTAATTGCTTGTAAGCAAAATTCTTAAGGTGAGCAGGGACTTGCTCCATGTGTTGGTAGGTGCTGTGATTTGGAAGACAAAAATGTTCTGTTTGATACAGTTTGAAATTTATATTCACAACTTAAAAATACTGTGACTGCTTCTAGATGAAACAAAGTTGTGAATTTCTTTCTTAATGAAGGGTCATTAACATACAGGCTTGTATTTTAATATTTTACTGCAATTTTACTATTGTAGTCAGTATAAATGGTGTAAAGTAAATAGTTTATCACGCTAGTGTTGCCTGAGTGATCACTTAGAGGAAAAATATGCTTGCTCCATGAATGGTATAGAGTAGCTGTAACAGTGGGAGAGAATCTGGTCAGTGTGAAAGTTACTGTTAGAAAAGTATGATATTAGGCACAGAAATGATAATGCTACTTTAATTACACGTAGTAGGCATCAAATTACTGAACATGACTGCCTTTCTGTGCCTTGAAAATGAGTAGAAACTGAACTATTACTCTAAAGATAAACAGTGCTGTTGACGTTGTAAGTATTAATGAAATATGCTTCAGTTAGTGTAAGTATAGTTTGAAGTAGGAGTTGTGCAGAATGCTGATCTTACTTACAGGGTTGAGTTACAGGAACTGTGTCTGTTGCAATATGAGTTATGAAGCATATTAAAGTGAAAAAAGTAGACGTACAAGAGTGCTGATTATATTCTGAAACAGAATAGCTGCATAGCCATTTTAAAAGAATTGTAGCCCTGAATTTGAAGTGAAGCTAGTTCGAATAGTATGCTGCCTTTAAAAAAACTAACAGCATTGCACCCCCTTTATAACTGTCTTTCATACCATCTTTACAAGGAAATACTTGAAGATGTCAGACACAGCTGATTTACTGGCAGTAAATGAACCTGTACAACGTGGCTTCAGCTAAGGAGAGGCTTTCACTGCTGTCTTTGGCTCCCACTGGTGAAGCAATAACACCAGCACAGATTTTTTTTCTGCTCCCTGGTTTGGCCACGTAGCATTGATCTGATAAGAGCTGCTTTGCAGCATGGCTCTGGGAGCGAGAACTCTGTCAGGTCACATCTTCCACTCTGCTGCAGTGTCACCAGGAGAAAGGAGTCTAGAGCACATGCAGAGCTTAGAAATATAGATATGTTTGTGCATATGTCTGTACAGTGAAGTGTGCTAACAGAATTTCCTAGGGTGAAACCAGTCACAGACATAAGAACACACAGTTCTTTCTCATGGAACAGTGAGAATCAAAGTTATGACTGGACTTTATCCAGTAGATAAAGCTGATCTTAGTGGCTGCAAACAGTTCACTTGCAAAATAGATCCCTCTATGTTCTGCAGAACAGCACACTATAGCCCCAAGCTACAGAAATTAGGGTTTGCTCTGCATGTGTGAGAGAAAAAGCACAGGAGAAGGAACTGAGAGATTCTGAGGTGATGCAGCTCTGCATGTTCTTGTGGATGTAACTGCACTCTTGGCTGAACTGGCATTGATAGGCAACATCAGGTTTTATCTTCAACCTTATGAACTGGTCATCAGAAGAATTACGATGTGGCTTGAGTTGATGAGAGACTTCAAAGTAATAAATCTAGTCTAATTTTAATAGTCTGGACTGGTTTTGAGTTCAGATTTGATTTGATTCCTTGGCTACAGGTGCGGCACACAAAATTGAGCAGTGATCTTGTATAGAAATGTGACAGTCCTGAACCACTCTGTGTTGAATGGGCACACATTCAGAACTCTCTAAACTTGTAAAGAAAGCTTTAATTAGACAGATCTTTGGTCTGGGTTTGTTTTGTTTGTTTGTTTTTCCAGATTGTGCATAATTGCCTTGTTGCCATTTGGCCTTTTCTTATGTTGTCAACATAGATAGATACTTTTAAAGTTCTGGAGTGACAAAAGTTAATCATATTTCAAGTTAGCTTGTGAAATTTTTGGAAGAGATTTCTGCAGTCAGAGCCCCGGTGTTTATTCTGTTCTGATTGCATGTGCTGAATGCTCCCATTTAATTCCTAAAGTAAATACTCTTTTTTCAGCTTCTTAGTCAATAAATAATGAAGGCAGTGCTGTATTATTCCATAGCTGGTGACTTTCAAATCTTGTCATGCTCCTTTTTTCTCAAATAATCAGGAACATGCAGAATCATGAATGTGGCTGTGTGGATTGGGGAAGGAACAGAAGAAAGTTGTTTTCAGGTGACTTCTCAGTTATTACTAATCCACCAGTCAAAAACCTAGAGAAGTTAGAGAATCTTAAGTTCTGTTTAAAGGTCCACAATTTCATGACTCTGGCAAACACTTTCAAAATGGGATCTTTTGTTCAAAGCTTGTATCTTAGTTACCCACTATGACTCTTAGTATAAGTTATTCTTTAACAAAAACCCAACTTGTGCTAGTCACTTGATATTTGCTATTGGTTCCTGTAGTCTTGTAGCGCACATTTCTTCACACAGATAAATTAGAAAGGAAAAAGAGGCAGAAGATGCAGAATTGCTTGTTTTGATGTTAGCATTCAAGAGAGCAGAAGTGTCACAGAATACGTTGCACAGATTCACTGATAGACGTGAAGTACATGGCTCCTGCAAGAGTTACCATTTATGTTTAGAATTCTACTTTACTGACATAAACCCTGTAAAACCTTATCTCAAATACATTCATCTGTTTCAAATTCATGTTAGGGTTTCGCTGCCATGAAGCTAATTGATGTAAACATAAAACCACCTTTCAGTGACATGAATAAAAAACCAAAATGACAGAAAAGCAATTTACACTGTACCTCTCCTGAAGCTGAGCATAAAAAGAACAAAGCCAGGAGTTACTCAGGATTTAAAGCAATAGTCTTTACATCTACATTTGTATTGTTTCTTATAAATATAAACATACCTGTTTTAAATACAATAATGTGTGACTGCAGTTTTTGCTTCTGTTTTATATGGTCATACTGCTCCTCAAGTAAGCTTACATCCATCTTGGTTGGCTGCTTATCACGATCTGAAGCCTGTTGCTCAGAGGTATGAGTCACTGAAAAAATACCAGTCATGTATTTGTAAGCCTTCACCATCTGTTCCAACAAGGAAGAAAAAGTCATGCAAAAGCAGGACATTTCCTTCATTGTGTTGGCAAAAAAGCAAACCAAGTATGGAACATCTGAAATCTTCCTAAATGTAGAAGTAAGTTTCTTCCAAGTGCAGTGACTTCTTTCATAAGTTGTGTGGTCTACTGTGAAGTGGATTTCACTCAGCTTGTTTTCATACAGGGCGTCTGGAGCTATTGCATACAGAGTTCATGATTATAACTGGATAGTTGGATTTAATGTTGACTTAAGGTTGTGAGCATATGAAGCTTTGCCAAAAAAAACAGTGAAATACAAAACCTCATTGAACACAGTCAGGTGCACAAAGGGCTGGGTAATACTGGTTTATGGAGCAATATTAATTCTTAAAGGGATGCTGTCATGGTGACCTCTCCAGGACAGTAGTTTGACCAGGGAAATGTTTCTTCAGGTTTCTTTCCACGTATTTTGCATCTTTTCCCCTCCACCTGCCGTTTCTTAACTTGCATGCAGTTCCATTCTTGCTGCTGGTTCTTGAAACCCTTGATAATTGTGTGCTTATTGCTGCCTTTGAAGAATGTGTTAAAAGTATTCAGGCCTGGGTGCAGAGTCAAAATAGTATATGCCAAAGGCTTGGAATCGGGAGGCTGGAGATGGGAATGCCTTACTCTGACTCATGTAATTTTTCTGCCTTTCTATAAAATGAACTGTGAAAGTAATCATTTCCTCACTGAAAGCTGAAGAAACTCTTCAAATGCATGGTAGCCACATCTTAAAACTTACTATGCATGTTATAGTATTATCTAATAATCAGGCAAAAATTTTAAAAATAAATGGCTTTTGGTCATATCAAATAAAGTACAAGACAATGTCTGGACTATGAATAGCAAGTTTTTGTCCCTGAAATAGGTCTGTCTGAGACTATTGCAAGGGCCCAAGTGAGTAGTATGTGAAAAAATCATGCAGTTAAACAGTGGTTTTAATATAACTGTGCATCTGCTAGGTTTCTTGCAGTGAAAAACATTGCATGAAAACAGGCCTAAAAAGGCAGTGTGTGGAAAGAATGCTGGTGTGCTGTATTTTTCAAGGTACTGGCAGAAATTGTGTGAAGATTTGCATCATAAATGATTTACTGAATCAGACTCCAATCCCGCAGATCTTGGGAATCCCTTTGGAAGTTGTGCATATGCAGGTGATGACTCTAGTTATGCAATGCATAGAGTTTCCTGGTAAGGCTCAGCAGACTCACATGTGTAAGTCTGCTGTAATTCACTTTTTAATAATTGCTTTGCTTTCCCAATATGTTTGTGTTTTGCAAATCGTGTTGCCTCCCTCAGCTGCAGCCTTTTTCCGCCTTAGCCAGGGAAAGCACAGTAAACACAGTACTTTGTCAAACACAGGGGATACCCTTCAAGTTAGCTTCTCCCTTGACCCTGGAAAAAGCACTTGTCATGTTCAAGTTGTTCTGATGTATTGTGGCTTTGGTAGGTCTGCTTTGATATTCCGCCTTCAGTAGTGACAAACACCTAGTGCTCTGCAGAAAGGAGCACCTCAGTTGCCTTGTTTAGTGTTCCGAGTTGTTGGCACATGGAGTCCTCCTTTGGACCTTCAGGCTGTTGGTGTATACGTTGGGGCAGGAGATTTAATTAACCCTATTACAGTTTGAGCTGGCATTCAATACAAACATTATTAATGGTCATAAAAATTACCCAATCTTTTTAAAATTCCAGTCACACCATTTGACTCACTGACCTCCTGTGAAAGTGACTTGTGCAGCGTATGTGTTGCAGAAAGAATTACCAGAACAGCATCCTTGAATGTGAAATGTAGGCTCTGTCTTAAAACATGTACACTTAACTTCTCATTAGAAGAGCATTTAAAGTATAATGAGTTTGTATCTGATGATAAATTACTATTATTATTGTTTATTTGTACGATGCCATTCCCTCATGATCATGGAAAAGCCATCACACTTAGTTACACAAGTGGGTTATACAAGGCAGTCTCTTCCCAAACGGTTGTATGGGTAAGCGGCAAAACGAGAAACTGGGAGAAGAAATCAGGTGCCCAGTGAAATGAAGGGAATGAGTCCAGGTGGTAGAGCAGAGTGGTGGAACCAGGAACAGGATTAGCTTTTGTTTTCCTGACACAATCCTATATACATTGCAGTTTGTTTCCTTTTCAGGGAAAGCTTGTGAACATGCATCTTGATTCCGGCTCAAGAGGTGTGTATATATATGTTTGTGAGTATATAGGTTTGTGGGTATACTTTGCTGTAAAGGCATGTGTGTGTCTATACACACACGTGTGTTTTGTGAATAATTTTCAACCAGGATATGATTCATAAAATGAGCTGCAGGTGTAATCTATGTGGTATCACAAAGTACATAGGGTTAATTTTGGTTTTGAAGTGTAGTGAGCTGATGTAACTAATCCTTGTTATTATGCAGCTGACATAAACTTGGAAATGGATTATCTGTGGCTTCTGTTCTTATGCCATAGTGGAACAACTTCCTCTGTACCCCTAGCCTGTTTAGGTTAAAAAATAAAAATCTGTAGTGTCATGCATACACACACAATTATTACTTCTGTTTAAATCAGTCAATTGTTCAGTCTTCTTTAAATTGAATTACTTGGATCTGCAGACTGTACTTTTCAAATCCGCAGCAGGTGGCACTATTGGAGTGGTATGACTGCCTTACTCTTAAATGTTAGAGGTCCCCCTTTGGCTTGCAGGTTGCTGAGGAATATTAGCAGTCGAGCCATTTCCTAGGACTGACACACATATTTCCTAACAGTACTGTAGGTTCTGAAATTTATTGCCATGATTGGGTTTGTGTAAAAACTTGTCTTTCTTTAATTGAACAAACTCCTGTCAAAAACATTGTCTGTGAGTGTTTTTCATTTGATTATCCACTGAAGTCTGAAGTGCCATATTTTTAAATCTTTTCTTCCATCACACAATGGAAGCAATTCTTCATTTCCTTGAGGCAAAAAAAAATTGAGAATACTTCATAATCCAAAAGCAATGGCTTTTAGAACTTGAAGTAGATGTTTACTTCCCTTGACCTTGGTTGCAAAATCTCATTTAAAAAGATGCAACTAATTTTATCTCATACTAATTAATTTGTGAGTAGTAAATTAGTTTTTTATTGAAAAAATTGTTCAGAGGACCTTATAGGAATAATTGTTGATTTAAAGATAATTAAAAATGCTCATAATGGTTAACTGACTGAATGCATTTCCTGTAACATTGGATTTTACTGCACACCTGGGACCAGAGGTATATGTGATTATTCTTGTTCATGTGCAGAATTATAGACACGTCCAACACTGTTAATGCAGGTTCCAAAGATAGAATACAAATATCTATAGATTTTAACTGGCACTGAGAAGGAAAATCAAAGTTACTGTGATAATAATCCCCTTTCTCTAGCTTTCTATAGTGTTTATTCTTTTAAAATTTAAATATATTCTTGAAGTGTTAGAAAGTTACTATTTTACTGTTAGAAAGTGTGATAACAAAAAGAAAGGTAGAAACAGGGTGGCTGCTATTATTTGGGTTCCAGACAGTGTTAGAATCAATAGTAAATATTTACTATTTAATTAGATTTTTGATAAGATATTTAACATACATTTCTGTTATTTGAAAGCACAACCTTAAAGCTTGCTGCAGTTAGAAACTGGTTATGTAGTTCAAGCACAGGACTTTCTGATGATGCTAGATGATTTTTTGGTGCTCTCTGCCTGTCCATGCTAATGGTATGAAGGAGCCTATGATGCACGTTTTCATTATGATCTCGAGATGTTTCTTGTGATCTGACTTTTCATGTGCTTTCACACATGGAGGGATCAAGTGTGTCAAAGGGAGGGTGGCCCAGCTGTCACTTCAGGTCTCTGGAGGTTTGGTGAGCTTGGGTCATGTGTAATCCACCTTCACATTTCCTTGATAGTGTTCTACTTTACTCTTTTTTCCTTTGGTGTCTTTATGTAAATATAATTAGGTAGTGTCTGTGTATGTAGGTATATATCAATATATCTGTATATCAAAAAATTTCTCTTCCTTAGATCCCCAAGGTTCCCAGTTCACTGAATCCACTACCACTGATCCAGCCCTGGTGATGGAAAGGGGTTTTGCAAGACACTCGTGTGCCCAGAATGAGCACCCAGGAAGCTCCAAATTGCTCCAGTCCAGCAGTGAGCTCTGGCATCTCTGATCCTGTGCTCTGCCTGGATGGCTGCAAATGCTTAAATCAAGGACACCAAGTTGGCAGTGAAGATTTCATACCAATCATTCCATGCCTCACCTTTCATACTCACATATCTGGCTTTGCGTGAGTTGAGAACTAGGTGCTATCCAGTTCTCTTTGCAGAACCACATTCTGTTCTTTATCTTGGGGATGGTAGATATAGTCACACTGAAATCACTGGATTCATCCAAGTCAAATTGAAATGTGCTTGTTGTGAGGAGTTAAATGCAGCAGATGTTGTGTGCGTGCTCTTTTTTGTGCCTAGTGTTTAAAAACCTCTGCTCTGTCTTGCCTCTGTTGGTGCTGAGGATTAAGTAACCTTCCTCTGGAGTGTTACTTGATGTGGAAAATAAACTGAAATGCTGAAATTTGCTCTGTTAGAGGGCTGCTCACTCTGTTGGTTGTTTGCTCCCTCTATGTAAACAATCAGCATCCAAAACTTAGGGTCAGGAGTTGTTCATTTTGTAGTTCTGCTCTTCTTGCCCAGTGAGAACTTCTGAGATTCCCTTTTAGAAGTGACAGTGTGAAGAGGCAAGTCTTAAGAAGAAACTGAAGTTATTTACCATTAGACATTTTAATCAAATGAACCCTGACATCTTTCCTTGCTTTCTTCTTAGTTCTAGGGTTTCTTACATTAGTAAGTGACAAAAAAGACAGTTAGGTTTACTCCATTTTGACCTCATAAAACTGTCCATAAGAAGAGAGGGAACTGAATGGCCTTCAGTAGTCCTCTTCAGAGGATTTTGGAAATTTATTGAAGCTTCCTTGATCCTTCAGATGCCTTAAATTCCAGTTACTCATAAGCAGAGTTCACATTTCTGGTACTGCTACCTAAGTATATTTTCTATACCAGCTACTTCTCTGACTGTTTCCTATCCATAGAGTTACGATGGCTACAGCTCTAG